ATTGCTGGAACAGGGGTGTCACATTTCTAGCTATAGTCTCATAATGATTCTACGAATTGTGCCATTTTTTAGGAATCGGATACACCAAAATTTCCTTCGGAAGCGGAATTTTGAACTATGATCGAGTAGTAGACGACATTGTTCAACTCTCTTATTGATTGGTAAATTTTGTCGCTGCAACCTTGGCTGGAAACCCTCTAAACACACTCTTTTATGTCTAAAGTAGGTGGAGAGTAAAGGCACATATTTCGTCGAAGCCATTTCTGCTCCCCGGCTTAGAAAATTTGACATTTGTGATGATTTTATGTGTCGCGGGTGAGGTGAAGGCTTTCATCTGGGTTTTTATTGTCAACGCCTGCTTTAGCCGGCGTGCATATATTGGGGTCATATGCTTCCATCATCTGTTGTTTTAGAGCATATATGCATTTTGCAACCAAACAGAAATCACTTTTAAGATGCCTTTAACAATTCAGTACATTGGATAGCTTTTAATTTAGGAGAGATTGGATACTGTTTTAGGCATAAAAGAGTTTAACCATCATGAAGAGGTTCCCATGCATCGAGCAGTGGGGAGCTGAAGCAGTACTAGTCCCCACCTATTCTTTCATGAGTGATCATGCATGCTTCTTCAGTGTACCCAGTTTACTTTCGAGATAAAGTCATTTATATTCATAAAACAACTAGTTTCAAACATAGGTGATACTGATCGAATCATATAGATTTATTTGGTGGGTTGACATTGAATTGTGACAATAGCACACTAATAATAAATTATTAGCATCCAGTTCCCCAATATTTGAAATTATTATTACCGCAAATTGGATTGTCATCCGATCTAAATGAACAAGGGATATAGATTTGAAAGATTCTGGCTGCTGGCTGCCTATTAGGTTGAGGATAGATGCCATATATTGGCGCATGGCATTATTGCAATATTGTTGCGTATAATTATTGATGTGAATATAAGATGAAACCTCCATTAATTATAACATACCAGATACAGTATGATGGGATCTTCATCAGGGTCAGGTCGGGAATGAGCTGACTAAAAGGGAATGGTTGCACCTCGTTTCAGGTCGAGGTTGTCTACATACTCTAATTCGATCGGGGGAGTTGAACTTAGAGATCAAGCCACCGTAGTTATGTGGGTTTTATAGGAGATGAAGAGGCAGAGATAACGGGATTGTCATGATTGTCTATTATACATGCATTAATTGAGGATCAGATCAATCAATGATTGGGTAACGGCTATAAATCTATAATAAAGATAAGCCAGTTGCCTAAGAATCTTTACATATATGCTTCACTCGACCTGGAAGATTGTGGTAGGAAGATCAGTATTAGGTCGAGTCGAGTTAATGAGGTCGTATTCCTGTGATGCCATGTGTCGCTTTTTCATTGGATGTTGAATGTAGTAGAGTACCGCTACAAAGACAATCGCACAAAATTTTCTTTTTCTTGAGTTGAAGTAATGTTTTTACTATAGAAACAAGATGGAGATGGGATCAAAATGCCGCGCTTCCAGCTGTAGAAACACAGCTGCATGATCCAATTTCAAATTCAGATCATTTTTGTACAACATAATCTAGGAGAAAAAAAAATTGGGAGTGAAAGTTACTGCCATGAACCTCATGCGGGTTGACATTGCCTGACCCAATTTAACTTTGGCAAAGAAAAAAGTGGGTTTCCAGTTTCCACCATTCACCTTTACTTACTACACTTGATTACCACTTTACTTTTTCACTGTGCTGCATATAACCATTAATTTTAAACTTGTAAGTTATATATGTTAAATGTAGTAGTAGTCAAACCTTATATAGATGGCATAATTAGAATTTGGTACTTGGTAGAAGTAGAATGGTAGCTAGGTACAGAGTTGTAGATAGAGATGATTAGAAAGAAACAGTAATAAGTATTTATGAAAGAAAGCAAAATTATCAGTGCATCTTATCATAACGTATGCATGCTTTCCTCTTAATTGTATCGACGATTCCTTCTGTTTGTTGAAATAAACGCTTATCACCACCTGCAATCATTATGTTACCAACAGGACAAGAGTGTTAACGTTTAAACTGTTTGATTTGGTGGATTTCAAACCATAGTAATTTCATTAAGCCAATCAAGATTCACCATTAATTGGAATGCATGTCATGATGATCATGACTACTGTCTCTGATATATGTCTGATCTGGTCATTTGTGTTATGTCATGTTCATTAAGTTCATGTAAGGGTAGGAAGAGAGAAACATTCAATCTGTTGTGCTCTTACTATTAAATGTTCTATCTGTCTCTTCTTTAACTCATTAGTCATTAGAGAGCTAGTACTCACTACTCAGCACAGACTGTCTTGGTGCTCTCTCT